TAAAATAGGGAGCGGAGGGTTTGGCACTGTTTTCAAAGTCCAACAAAAAGTTGATAATAAATTATTTGCTATTAAAAGAATTCTAATGGAAGGTATTTATTAATCATGGTGAATTCATTGGAATTTTTAATGGTCTTTTCTCAGATGACATTGCATCAAAAATAACGGAAATTCGGATAATGTCTGAAATAAGCAGTGATTATGTCGTGGTTCCCCTTGCTGGCAATATGACCTGGGCAGAGCTGTACAGATAGGACTCCACGAGGGTAGCGTCCACATTAACTCGGCAACTTGTGGTGATCAAGGTTATGCGGTTTAAATCCCCAAAATTGTTGACTGGATTATACTTAAGGTGGGTTAATTAATTGTTTTCATTTGTTTTGTAGAGATAAGTAAATTTATTTTATTCCTATTTTATTTTAACAAGTTTAATTTGAAAATATTAAAGTTAGCATACAAAAATAAATTAAATAATTTCAATATCAATGCTCGGGTTAAACCATAATAGTTCGCAACCATCAGATGTACTGGCTAAAATCTCTGATTTAACAGCTGGCATCTCCAGAAATGTGCTCTTGCCCAAGAGTTCTTTGATGTCAGCCAGTAAATTATCGCAAATTCCATCAAGAACATTTTTGTGGCAAAGTAAAAACAAATTGCCCCATGTAAATTCTTGGGTCTCAATTAAATCATCAATCACATTCACTGGTGCATTATATACACTGGTGATAATGTAATTAATATTTTCAAATATAAACTTCCTGGTTAAAAAATGATGAGTTGTTTTTAAAAGTTGCTTGTTATGTGAAAATTGATCACGAAAATCTGAAGCGTCATCAGTCAGAATTTCAACAACTTCACCTTTCGACACCACAATCATTGTGTTGCCATGTTTGAATATTTTTCTGGCTATAAACTTCTTCGAATTTATCCATTTGAGGCCTTCTGGATCATCAGTGTCCTTGGGTGTTATCGAGATAATATTTTCCGTTAATCTCTTTAAATCAATATTCATACCTTTCTTTTTATTATGATTATTAATTAAACTGGTTGAATTAAAAACTTATGATGTACATAAATTTACTGAGATATTATTATTATTATTAAAATTAACAGTTTGAGCTTTGTATAAGTTTATGAATAAACTTCTAAAAATTTGTTGCGTTAACACATGAGAAAAATATGGCACGAAATAGTGTTTACAACAGAATTACATCAGAATGCAACTCAAGGTCTTTTGACGATAATGATGATTATATGAAAAATGAAATGTCGTTAATAAGTCTATTTATGTTCTAGATGTTCAATCGTAAAAATCAGTGTTAACAAAATGTGATCATGACCGGTTTCGACTAAAGCGTCCTTTTCAAACGAAATAATTAACACCTATTACTACTCTAAAATAAATAAATACCACAGCAGAAAGATCGAATAAGAGACAAAAAACTGAAAGTTACATCAGTTTAGAAAAGCATAGTAAACACTTATAAAATTTCTCGAACTGGTTACAAGTAGCTTTCTTTTCTTTTGTTAAAGTTACTGTGTAATAATGTTCCTCTGACTCGCTAGTCTTATGCAACAGCATCACTAAGCGGTTCTGTTATCAACCAAAGGAATGCAGTAGAGCGTCCTCCTTCATCAAATAACATCATAATGAGAAAATTGGTGATGCTAGCCTTATTTCATAAGGTGGTTAGTTATTTTCCCATTATACTACTTGTATGTTACTTCCCGGTGCATATCTATGTATCAAGAAGCATATCTATTCCATCAAATAGCGACACCTGCCATGACGCTAAAACACAGCAGGATATACTCTGTAAAAGGTAGATCAAAAACATAAAAGCACAAGCGAGGATGGCACATCATAATGTAATATTTGACTATCATAATTTTACTTATTGATGAGGACGTCGCATTTTTTATCATGATAAAATGAAAACACATTTAACTAGAAAGCATGGCTAATGACAATGATAAGTTTACTGCTATGAAACTTATATATAGTAGCAACTAACGGTGATACATCGGCCAACGGCGAATGCACCAAATAAGGCCGTAGTTGTACTAATAGTAAACGAAAAAAGCATTACAAATGAACAATAAACATGTATTCATGAAGTATTGAATGATAGATATTATAGAACGTTTCCTACTTAATGAGACAACTTTCTGTAAATTATCATCTGAATTTCTAGTGCTAGATCCATTAAAAGCAATATATGCATTGGGGAATGTGTTCAATAACTCCATTAAAACCAATAAATCACTATTTGCATTTATGCAGTGCCTGATATGTTCGACAGGTAAAAATCCAAGGGGGAAACAGCGGACTCCAGACTTCAACACGCCAACTGACTCCACTTGACTCCAAATGACTTCAATTGATTTCAACTGACTTCAACTGACTCCAGACAAGTCATATCTGACCGAGTCTATTGGCCTTTTTTTAAAAACTTGTCATTGTTGTATTTCCATGCTAGAACAAATGTCCTGTTATGAAATTCGATTCCCCAAAACAGAACAAATTTACTTTTTCAAGGGCGTCAATTCCCATAGCAGAACAAAAATCTGCTGTTATGGGAATATTTTCCCGAAAATGGAAAACTTTTGTTCTATTTTGGGAATCGGATCCTTTGATAGAGCAAAATGTTCCGCTTTTGGGAATAAACCATTAACGAGTTCATGTCCTTCACAGTTGAAATAAGCCATCACATCCCCGGAGTCCATCAGACACCATCGAATCTCATAGGATCTTTTATTTTACCTTCTGAGTACACCACATCAGGTGACTCCACTTGACTCCAAGTGACTTCACAAGACTGGGATCCCATCTAGTCTGCTATTTCTCTCGTGGGCTCCACCCTATCACCTGATTCCACCTCATCAATTAACTCCAACGCATCAAGGGACTCCAAATGACTCCATGCGTCTGGAGTCCGCTGTTTCCCCCTTGTGAAAATCGCTGTCAGGACGTCATACATTTTTCGAAAGAGATGAATTCCCGTAGAATGAAGCACAAGAGGCATTTTGAATTTCTCAGCCATTAATACTTGTTCAACGTAAATCATCATCTGCTCATCAAGAGAGTGTCGACTAGTATCATCAAGACCCGTCTCTCCAACGGCCACTACGGGTCTGCCCGATTTGGGTAAATCTTTGTTCGCAAAAATACTGGAGAGTGCTGTGAGTTCTGTCCGTTTATCATGTGGGATAAACTTCGGGTGAATTCCGAATGTTTCGAAAATTATCGTATTCCTATATGGGCACGGTTTCACTGTGTCCCATAGATAATATTTATGCTTGTTTGATATCAAAACCATTTTTCGTACAGTCGACTGTTACTTATTGACAGCCACTGCCACTTCAATTCGTTTGGCGAATATGGAATGAATGAAGATTTATTCTTCCAAGAACTGCAGCAGTCGACTGAACGAAAAATGGTTTGATATCAAACAAGCATAAATATTATCTATGGGACACAGTGAAACCGTGCCCATGAAAATTCCAATGAATTCACCATGATTAATAAATACCTTCCATTAGAATTCTTTTAATAGCAAATAATTTATTATCAACTTTTTGTTGGACTTTGAAAACAGTGCCAAACCCTCCGCTCCCTATTTTACACAACTCTTCAAATTTCTTATCATACTTTTTATGGAAAACATTTTCATAAACCTGTTTTCAAAGTCAAACAAAAAGTTAATAATAAATTATTTGCTATTAAAAGAATTCTATTGGAAGGTATTTGTTAATCATGGTGAATTCATTGGAATTTTTAATGTTCTTTTCTCAGATGACATTGCATCAAAAATAACGGAAATTCGGATATAAGCAGTGATTATGTCGTGGATTACATAACTTCGTGGACCGAATCAATTGATATCAATAATAGGAGTCAACTAAACTTCCTCCACATTCAGATGAAACTATGTTCACAAAGTCTGCAAGAGCTCACACCTTCTATTAATGAATTACCTGATGAAACATTCAAATATTTGATTCGAAGCTCACTATTGGTTGAAGTGATTGAATGCCTCAATCATTTGTATTCATTGAAACATCCGGTCATTCACAGAGACCTCAAACCACACAATGTTTTGATCATCGATGGAAGTAATGGCAGATTCACGAAGTTATGTGACTTTGGATTATCTAAATTCCTTGAAGAATCTCAAAATACTCGTGGTCAAGGGTTATTTGATTATATGGCACCCGAAGTGATTAACTATGATATTAACGCAAATCCAGGATAAAGTCGATATAATTTAAAGTCTGATATCTATAGTCTGGGAGTCATTGGAAGAGAGCTCTTTGACATAAAAGAAGACATCAAACAATCGGAGAATTAAAGAATTTGTGAGTTTTTAAAAAAATAGTTATATATTTTTAAAGCGTGCTCTTTTTTATAGGCTAATGAAATACCGAGATAAATACTCAAACAGTCATATAAAGAGTTATTTCAGTAAATTCTTTGAAATATTTATAGCAATGCTTTCGAAAAAACCAGAGGAGAGACCCAATTGTGAAGAGTTGTTGAATGACAAGAATCAAAAAAGTTTCTAAAATATTTTTCTTGATGAACAGGGCTATTTTCATTCATACTAATTCAAGAAAAAGAATTGATGTAATTTTACATTTTAGTCATAATCTCTTTAAAATTGTGTAAAACAAAAATTAAATTATTTGCTATAAATTGTGACGGAATATCAGGGATGTTATGCTTGGGAAGTACAGGTTTTTGCATAAAACTAAGTTTGAACCTTAATCATTAATCCCTGTATCAAACCTGATCTTGATAATTTATTTCAACAAAATTCATAAGTGACTAAGTTTCTATAATTGATAAAAACTCTGATTACAAGTTGATTTTAAAAGTAAAGCCATTAAATTAATAAGAGTTTAACTTTTATAAACTTATAAACATTTTTGAAAGTGATTAGCAAGATTAGATTTGATAAAGGCATTAATGAATAAAGTTCAAACTTAGTTTTATGCAAAAAACTGTACATCATAAGCAATTACACAATAAAATAGAAGAGAGACACAATGAGTGAATTCACATTGTACAATTTATATCCTTGTAAAAATAAAACTATCAGGTATATCCAATAGTTTACAAAACTAAAGTATAAAGATTATAAACAGAGTTTGTTAATCTGAAACCTCCTTGGTCAACCATAACCTTTTATATAATCAGAACAATTTATGCCGACACGCCCACACACCATAAATTGCCCCTGCTGCTCCACCTGCTATTGTGCCGAATGGTCCTAATACAGTACCTGAAGTCATTCCTGTAGCAACAGCTGTCCCTATGGCTGCCCCCACACCCATACCAATAAGGGCTCCTTTTGCTTCCTTAACATTTTCAGGGTTGTCACCTTTAACAATTTCATTAACTAACCCAGATGGATTAATCAAAGCCTGTGTGGCTGTAATAAAGCAGTCATTCCATTCGGCAGCGTTTGCCTCAAAATAATCAAGTCCTCTTTGAGCACCTTCCTCAGCTACATAACTTCCAAGCAGCCCACCAGTTATTCCACCTGCAATACCCCCTACAATAGCGCCAATAGGGGTCCCTATGACGGCACCAACCCCACCAAATAGTGAGCCAACACAGGCTCCGATTTTGGCCCCTAACAGTGCACCACCGGTGGCGCCAACGACTCCACCACTCCATCCGCCGGCAATCGACGCAATAGTCTTAATCGTCTGATGAGGTAATATGTGATTGTCATCAGAAGTCATGTCTTCATATATGGCGGCACAGATTCGCAGTCCGTCCGTCACGAGAGCCACAACTAGGAGGGCCTTTGAGACCCCTTTTAAGACTTTGTCCACTTTGTCTGCACAGGCGATCAAACTCTTCGGCACTTTTATGTGTGGATTACTTGCATTTGGGACACCATTTGGGTCTATGTTTATGTGTGGAAATTGTGAGACGCCTTTCCCTCCGTGCGGATTGTCAAAGCGTATAATTGGAGCACCTAGGTTAAACATAATTTTAAAAAAGTGAAATTTATCAGGCATAGCTGGATTAACTTGGTGTCTCAAAAATAATCGAGTTTACATAAGAATTTTTACTCGATATGGGAAATTCCCCCTAAACTCGTGAATTCTAGCAAGGTAATATTCGGCCATTGGGCATGGTAAAAAATAGATCACGAATAAATAAATTGATTTTACCCACTGGTTGTCCATTCTTCATTTTACCCAATGTGCCATCAATAAGTCCAGCTCTGGTTGCCCTGTTCAAATGTTCAGTAGGAATAAGTCTGTATCTTGTTTGGCATGCTTTGCCCGTTGTTATACCTTGTAGAAATTTATCAGATGGTCGCAAAATAACAGTGGCCCAGGTCTCTTTCTCATTACTTTTTGCACTCATTCTTTTCAATATTATTATTTATTCTACAAAACAAAATAATCACGACACAAAAAATAGCGATTTTCGCAAAGAATTTCGTACTAGATAAAAGAGTTACAAACTTTAACGTTGAAACATTTCACGCTTTCTATTTATTACAGTGATGGGCAAGATAAGAAAGAAGAGATGAAGAGTAAAATTGGAATTTTTCTTCTAAAAACTTACACAGCTATTTTATATTATTATTTTTCATAATGGTAATTTGAAAAAATATACTTTTATGCTCCTGTTAATCCTTGAAAAAGAGAATATTTGTTAATAAACCCTCGTTCTGTTTAGCCCTGGTATGTTATGTATATAAATAAAGTTATTTCAAGATATGGCTTACGTGAGTGAAAACATATCTCTAAAAAGAGCTTGAGTTGCATTCTGATGTAATTCTGTTGTAAACACTATTTCGTGCCATATTTTTCTCATGTGTTAACGCAACAAATTTTTAGAAGTTTATTCATAAACTTATACAAAGCTCAAACTGTTAATTTT